TACAATGAGCTGGAAATCTGTTCCAACATCTTTGGATTTCCTCTCATTTGTAAACTTTGTTTTGAATTTTCCTCTTTCTTTAAAAATGCAAAATCGTTTTTCAAGGAACCACTCTTTTATCTTAGGTTAGAACTGAAACAGTTACTTGAAGACAGGAATGATAGATCTGCCAGTTTGGTTCTGATGCTGCTGTGTGAAGACAAACTGAACCTGACCAGGTTAGACAGTGGAGATGAAGACAAGGAAATGGACAGGCTGGTCAAAACTGTTCAAGACCTGATGCCAAATACTACACGTTCAGGCATGTACAAAGCCGCTAAAAGTTTTAGAGGTACATTCTTCACAAGAGGAGACACTGTTGGCTTTGCCCATTCTGCAATCTATGATGCTTGTGCCTGTGCTTTGTTCAATATCAGTCCAGTCTTTGTTTTGAAGAACTGTAGTGATGACTTTCTGTTTGAAAGAGTACAAGGTGAAAAGGTTGAAGAAACTATAGTTGATGACCATCTCCATCTGATATATGTCTCAGATAATTATGATGACCTACTTACCACAAGGTTTGCACATTCTATTAAACAAGGAAAGTTTTCTCAATCAGTGACACATTCTGTTCTCAAACTAGACACAACAGCTTTCAAACTGCTGAACAAACTTCAGTGTGATGGGACAAAGCACCACCATCCGCATAATCAAACTGATTCTAAAGATGAACTTTGGTTCCACAGGAGAGAGAAAGGAAAATGTTTTTTGTACTGGGCAGTTCTTGGACATAATGCACATCTAGTTACAGATATAGAACACACAACTGGAGAAGAGTTCTCTCAAGAGGAGATCAGTCAAGCTATGGAAGGGTGTGCCCAAAGCAACAATGTGACAGTATTGAAATGGCTCTTCACTAGCTCCGAAAAACATGATCATCAATTGACACTCAACAGACTCTTGTTGCAAGCTGCTGAAAATGGCAGCTCCGATATTCTAGTTTATCTGCTCCAGGAAGGTGCTGATGTTAACACTAGAGACAAGAAGTTACAAAACATCTTCCATCTGGTTTGTAAGACAGGAATTGAAAAATCCCTGAAAATCCTGTTAAATAGGAAACCTGGAGATAATGTTATAAACTCTGTTGATGTGAATGGCCGAACCCCTGTCATGGTTGCAGCACTTTCAGCATCAGAAGGTTGTTTTGAGTTACTACGGAAAATATCAAACTTGAAAGTGAAAGATAAATATTGCAATGGAATTATTCATCTTGCCTGTCATGGTGGCATCAACGCTGTTGTGAAACATCTCCTGTCTCCTTCTAACATCAACAGTAGAGGTCAGTATAGCTGGACTCCAGCAATGTGGGCAGCTGTGAGTGGACATCAAAGTGTTTTTGACCTCCTTGTGTCCAACCATGCTGACCTGACACTGGTGGCTACATCTGGTGATAGTTTACTTCATCTTGCCTGTCAGGGTGGGAACACTGCTATAGTACAACACCTCCTGTCTCCCTCTAACATCAACAGTAGAGGGAGACATGGATGGACGGCAGCAATGAAGGCAGCTGTCAATGGACATCAAAGTGTGTTTGACCTCCTTGTGTCCAGGCAAGCTGACCTGACACTGGTGGATACATCTGGTGATAGTTTACTTCATCTTGCCTGTCAGGGTGGGAACACTGCTATAGTACATCACCTCCTGTCTCCCTCTAACATCAACAGTAGAGGAGAACATGGCTCGACACCAGCAATGAGAGCAGCTGTGAGTGGACATCAAAGTGTGTTTGACCTCCTTGTGTCCAACCAAGCTGACCTGACACTGCTGGATACATATGGTGATAGTTTACTTCATCTTGCCTGTCTTGGTGGGAACACTGCTATAGTACAACACCTCCTGTCTCCTTCTAACATCAACAGTAGAGGGATGTATGGCTGGTCACCAGCAATGAGAGCAGCTGTACATGGACATCAAAGTGTGTTTGACCTGCTTGTGTCCAACCAAGCTGACCTGACACTGCTGGATACATCTGGTGATAGTTTACTTCATCTTGCCTGTCAGGGTGGGAACACTGCTATAGTACAACACCTCCTGTCTCTCTCTAACATCAACAGTAGAGGGAGACATGGATGGACGGCAGCAATGAATGCAGCTGTCAATGGACATCAAAGTGTGTTTGACCTCCTTGTGTCCAAGCAAGCTGATCTGACACTGGTGTCTACATCTGGTGATAGTTTACTTCATCTTGCCTGTCAGGGTGGGAACACTGCTATAGTACAACACCTCCTGTCTCCCTCTAACATCAACAGTAGAGGTGTGTATGGCTTGACACCAGCAATGATGGCAGCTGTACATGGACATCAAAGTGTGTTTGACCTCCTTGTGTCCAACCATGCTGACCTGACACTGCTGGATACATATGGTGATAGTTTACTTCATCTTGCCTGTCTTGGTGGGAACACTGCTATAGTACAACACCTCCTGTCTCCTTCTAACATCAACAGTAGAGGGAGACATGGATGGACGGCAGCAATGAATGCAGCTGTCAGTGGACATCAAAGTGTGTTTGACCTGCTTGTGTCCAACCAAGCTGACCTGACACTGCTGGATACATCTGGTGATAGTTTATTTCATCTTGCCTGTCAGGGTGGGAACACTGCTATAGTACAACACCTCCTGTCTCTCTCTAACATCAACAGTAGAGGGAGACATGGATGGACGGCAGCAATGAAGGCAGCTGTCAGTGGACATCAAAGTGTGTTTGACCTCCTTGTGTCCAACCAAGCTGACCTGACACTGGTGGATACATCTGGTGATAGTTTACTTCATCTTGCCTGTCGTGGTGGGAACACTGCTATAGTACAACACCTCCTGTCTCCCTCCAACATCAACAGTACAGGGAGACATGGTAGGACGGCAGCAATGAAAGCAGCTGTCAGTGGACATCAAAGTGTGTTTGACCTCCTTGTGTCCAACCATGCTGACCTGACACTGGTGGATACATCTGGTGATAGTTTACTTCATCTTGCCTGTCACGGTGGGAACACTGCTATAGTACAACACCTCCTGTCTCCCTCTAACATCAACAGTAGAGGGAGACTTGGATACACACCTGTATTGAAGGCTGCCTTCTGCGGACATAAAGATGTGGTTGACCTCCTAATCCAGCACAAAGCTGACCTGACACTTCTGACAGACAGTAATGAGGACATCAGACGTGTATCTGAGATGGGAGGGCATCCTTCATTAACCAGTTATCTACAAACTGTACACCAGCCTCACTAACTACACCTATCAAACAGCACCACAGGACTGCAGTGGTCGAATTCAGGAAACAAGAGTCACAGTGATCTTCTATTCAACAACCTATTTAATGTCTAAAGGTCATTTGATATTCAAGTGGTGTTGGGCACTGGGATTTCTTGAAATACCAGATAATATGTGGAGAACAAAATCAGATGTTACATATGATTGCAATGAAACTTATTTTTTTGCAGGACAAGTTCACCTTTCTTTTAGAATGTTTATTCTTCCTGATCAAACTGCTGCCACTAATGGCACAAGGCCTCCATTTTGTCTGTAACCTATGGCTGTTTGATTTCTGGTTTGCTCAAATTATATTTCTTGCTTTGTCAGCACGATTCCTGTACTCATGGGTTTCCCCAAAGTAGTAACATGTGCGACATGCCTCACTTCAGGATTTCCTTCCTTTCTGAGACACCGTGACATCTAGCTGACACACCATGACATCTAGCTGACACACCGTGACATCTAGCTGACACGCCGTGACATCTAGCTGACACGCCATGACATCTAGCTGACACGCCATGACATCTAGCTGACACACCGTGACATCTAGCTGACACGCCGTGACATCTAGCTGACACGCCATGACATCTAGCTGACACGCCATGACATCTAGCTGACACGCCATGACATCTAGCTGACACGCCATGACATCTAGCTGACACGCCATGACATCTAGCTGACACGCCATGACATGTAGCTGACACGCCATGACATCTAGCTGACACGCCGTGACATCTAGCTGACACGCCGTGACATCTAGCTGACACGCCGTGACATCTAGCTGACACGCCATGACATCCAGCTGAAACGCCATGACATCCAGCTGAAACGCCATGACATGCCATGACATCTAGCTGACACGCCACGACATCTAGCTGACATGCCACGACATCTAGCTGACACGCCACGACATAACTCAATTACTGATCAAAGCCACGAGGTCTAGGCACTTGTGATTCATTTGCATATTCAGTGAATCAAACCATATCCCTTCATGAATTTGATTTGTTATCCCCAATCACCGGAATTAAATATTCTTAAATGTTTTAAAAGGGAGTGTTTTTCTTAAGTTTGATTTAATTTATCAAAAAGTGATATGCAAAATGGAATGCATCCAAGCCAGGCAGGGTCGTGGTCAACACTCTTATGTATTAATTCATTGATGTTGTCACTGGTTATTGTCGTGATAAATTTGTACTGTCAATACCCAATATTTGTGTACCAAATAAGAGCAATAACCCATTCATTCACTCTCTTACTCGTTCATGATGTACTGAATTATTAATCTAAGCTGTTTCATCTTCACACTTACGATTAATTTGCATATTCAGTGAATGGAACTTTACCCTTCATATATTTGATATGTTATCCGCAATCAATAATTCAATCAATGTTTTAGAAAGGAGTGATTTTTATAAAATTTTAGATGATTTATCAAAGTGATATGAGGTATGCAAGCCAGGCAATATAACAGTCTACACTCTTGTGTATTTAATTCAACATTGATGTGGTCACTGGTCATCAGGATCACTTTGCACTGTCCACATGGTCAAGAGGCAAAAGAACACATTTTGTTATTGTTTCCTGAATGTAATGACTAAATCAGCTGCTGCCATGTTATTGTATTCATTACCTAATATTTGTGTAATGTACCATATTTGTCTCGTAGTGGATTCATTGCTATTTGTGTCAAAACACAATTTGTGGATTAACTTGCGCAGTTCAGTATGGATTTGTTGATATTGTACCTCCAATGACTGATCACCATGATGAGACCATACAGCCTATGTTCCAGACTTTTGATAGATCAAGATATCCACATGCAGTGATATATGACATTTATTTAACCCTAGACCTGTAAGTTGAAACAACAAATGTTGTAATATTCAATTACCAAGTGAAAGCTATTCTTAACCTTGTAAGAAACATGACCCACATGCGCGTTCTTCTTGGACAAGCCGAACACCCACCCGTGCCCAATGGGAGGATGTCATACTGGTGGATGAACATCAGATCTACTTCACACATGGAACTCTATTTGTGTTGAATTCCATCAGTAATAAGCATTGCTGGTGCACTAGAAGCTGCTACTTTAGAGATATATTAACCTGTTTTATACAATACATTTGATGATGATTTATTGATAACACGGTCAGTGTAATTATTACCAGCTGTTCACCTTATATTTGTAAATGTATTTTTCCTGAATACAGTTTAAAAATTGCAAATGAGATTATGTCTTGAATATATCATGTTAAAGATTTTTCTCAGCTGTGATGATGATCTGTATTTAGTCCCAAAATGGACCCACAAAAGAAGTCATTGCGAGTTCAAGTGGTGTCTACCAATTGCCTGAACTTGCATGTAACCTTGCTGCCAAATACACATTGCCTTTTAAGAAAGTAGTCCAATGTAACAGATTTGGGATTACACTTTCTCAGTAAAGTACAGATTCTAGTACTTTTGTTGGGCTGAGTCCCATCTGGGATTCAAACCCACACTCAGTCAGGCACCTAATCACCAGCACACAAAGTCAGCTGCCTAACCCATGTGGGGAAGCTGCAGTGGCTGGGTGGGTTAGATGGCTGACATTTGGTACTTTGTTCAAAGAATATGTTCAAGTTCATAAAGAAGAAAAGAACATCATCTGAATGCACAAAACAATATGTTTAATAGTAAATATACTAGAAATTGTTTAAATATCAACAAGTCATTCAATCACCCGTGCAGATCCAGGTTAGAATATTGTCGTAAGAGGTGACTAACCGGATCAGGTCAGGCTTACTGACTTCACATGTCATCGGATCTCAATTGGCTACATCGATGCTCATGCTGTTGATCACTGAATTGTCTGGTCCAGACTCAACTAATTACAGACCGCCACAGAGAAAATAAATGAAGCAGACTTTTTTTATTGTCAGCATAGCCATTATCATGACACTGGTGGGGACAATGACTGGTTGATTCGGAATGTAAACGTGCCAGGAATGAAGCAAGGCGTAGGCTGAGACAATTAATAACTGTAATAACACACAAGAAAACAGACTACTTTCTCTGCAAGAACAGATGAATAGTTAGCTTGTTTTTATGGCAAAGATCTTTATAAAATGTACTAGTAAACTGTCTCCGCCTATGCCTTGCTTCATTCCTGGCACGTTTACATTCACGATGAGAGTTTCCAGTGGAACAAAATTTATACGCTTCAGTGAGTCCTGAAACAGTTATACGCTCACAAGGGATGAATATTTCTGTGTCAAAACTGTGAAGGATCTTTATTAGTAATGTTAATTATCATTTAATCATTGAGTTTTTAAAAGAAATGGAGTTGATTGATCAATTTTGATTTATATGCTTTGTGAATAGATAAGTGATATTATACAATTGGTAGAATAACTTAGCAACTAAGATAGTTAGTGGCTGTATCCTCGAAGGGGGTTAAACTGCTGTAAAATGATTATCCTCCTGAGAGGGAACGTAAGTCCCAAAACTTTCAAAGTCAATTTAGCTCTACACACGTTTTTAATCGTAGAATATTTGTTTTATTATGGCCAAATATCAGTACAATCGCCAATGGCTGAAGGGATGGTATAAATCCAGCTAGGGTCCATGCAGGTAGCCAAAGTACTGTAAGTCCCCGTGGTCCCTAGAGTGGTGGTTTACCTTCAGTTGTTGACCATCCTCAGCCCTTTTTGATGTTGTATTGTCCTAATCTAAAATCCTATTTTAGAGAGAGAGATGGTAGTTTTATTTCTTGATACTGTGATTTACTAGTTGGTTTTACTGTCATTCGTCGAAAGGTTTAAGAGTTTATTTTACACGACGTTTCAGAGTTAATTCTTGCTCCTTCATCAGGTGAATACTGGGTCAGTACAAAGAGTGATGTAAGGAGGGAGAATGTACAAAGATACAATATAATTACATAGCCAACAATATAATTACATAGCCAACAATATAATTATGAATCCAATAAGATTACGAAGCCAATAAGATTGGATTAATGCATAAAGAAAACAATGTATTGTGTACACAAATCCAAGAGTGGGGGTAGTGTGATGTACAAGAATAACAACATGATAGGAAACCAATTGGATAAGCACTTTGCCCCTCATTGGCGAAACATGTAAATTTACCTGGATTACCGTCATATAGCCTGTCGTACCAAAGTCCTTGTTTTCCCTACCAGAACTTCCTGAGCCATGTCAGCAAACGTTTATAAACAGAATAAATTACAGAATTACACTGTAATTCCGCTACATGTATTATATAGTAGTTGAAATATATACATCGTACCACTTTTTTACATTTGCCATATGCAGTCATCATGGAGAATCGCACCCGGGTCTTTGCCGTGACGAGCAAGCACTTGTTTACACCGCACTCAGCAATACTCTAGCTATAAATAACCGAGTGAGTTAATATTTAATGTCACATTGGCAATGTTTCAGTCATATCGTGACGAGAACAAACGTTTACAAACAATATGTATATTTTATAACCTGTCGTCAATGCACCATGGGGACTTACAGCCATGCTACCAGCATGGACCCTAGTTGGATTTACACCATCCCTTCAGACGCTGGCGATTGGAGGAAAATTTAGCCAAAATTTAAAATAACAAAAATACTAAGTTTACGGCATTAAGGGATGCTACAATTACTGAAGGGTTTACCCTGTTACACAAGGATTGGTCAGATTACTAAAGGGTTTACCCAGTTACAAAAGGATTCACCAAATTACTGAAGGGTTTACCATGTTACTCAGGGATTGGATAACCTAAACTGGACATGCAACTACAAAATACATTGACAATAGTATATGTCCTCAAATATTCCTTAAAGTCCACCCCGTACCTACACCAAGTATTATCCTGAATATTCTGCCACAATCCTAAACATCAATACAATGTCAGAAAACAACACAATTCCCCAAATATTAAATAATGAAATGCACACTGAAATAGGCTGCACAAGCTCTATAAATTTCAGATAGAGTAACAGTTAAAGGGAAGCAACTCCGTATGGCTTATTCTGCATGTAAACTGCACATATTTTATGAGCGCTTCAATGGAGCAACTTGAACATGAAAGTTTGGCAAACTTACACCTAAACGACTTACGCATTTATCAAGAGTGCAAACTGTGTTTCTACAATACCTAAAGCATAAAGGACTTAAAATATCACATGCTGTCACAGAAGTCTAAGGCAATAAACGCCATAAAGTGCTGTACGTGAATTATGCCTGATCGAAAGCTGAACAGTGCTACTTCTTAGATTACAATAACAAACTTATAATCGCTTTAACATGCCTCAACTGATACTTATGCATCTAGATTTACATGAAATACAAAATAGAAGACTTAATACATACTCGCTCGTTGCTGTGTTACTCCTATATTACTCAAAATGACGAGGATTCCTTAGTCTGTCGTACAGACCCTGAAGCAAATATATCCAAGAAAGCCCACACAAGTCTAGAAAATGTGGTAAGTCTAGATTTCCTCAGCTTCTGAAATTGAAGAAAGTCTCAGGACTCCTTCTCATTATATTTTTTTTTTTTTTACTATGAACTTTTTTCAGTAAAATGTTCATTTCAGAGACTAGTTGTTAGTCTAAGGATTCCTGAATATTTGGCCATGCCGCCTGAAACCTGCAAACTAGTCCAAACCGGATAATAGTTCTTAGACTGGTCATTTATATAAATTACGCAAGAAAATAAACCACCAGACTAGGTTTAATCTATAGATGGGTAAGAAATAGAGAGCTGTTTCGCACACGAAACAGGACAGGTTGAATCCTTTTTTGACAGAACTACTTAATTTGATGAGTTTGACATGGTGTAAGAGAACTCAAAATCAAAATGCAATGCAATGAAAAGAACAAAAGCCAACAAATCAAACATCCATTTCTATGAAACAATCCAGCGAACTAACTGCCTGAGTAAGGTAACTTCGTGTAATAAAATCGATTTGTTTTAAAAATGTACTTATTTGTCATTGCATTGGTTCAGCTGTAGGCGGCATAAATAACCCAGTCTAGACCTGACACTTCAGTGATTGATATTATGAAGCACAGGTCCACTTGCGCAATGACCATGCGATTAGTTAAAGTGTTCGATCATCACGCCGAAGACTCGAGTTCGATTTCCCATATGGGTACAATACGTGGAACCCATTTCTGGTGTTCCCCATCGTAATATTGCTGGAATATATAGCTAAAAGTTGTGTGTAAAAGCAAACACCCTCACCACCCGTGAAGATGCGAGGAGACTAACGGGATCGGATGGTCAGGCCCTCTGACTTGGTTGACTCATGTCATCGAATCCCAATGACGTAGATCGATGTTCATTCTGTTAATCACTGGATTGTGTGATCCAGACTGGATTATTTACCGAGGCCGCCATATAGGTGAAAGATTGCTTTTTTATCATTTTTTTACCATCACATTCTATAACCCTGTTGCTGTTTGCCATTAAACAACAAACCAACAGCCCATATCTCCATTAACGCAAAGATATTAAAATCAATTCTGAAATTATTCAAACCTACAACAGCCAAGAAACCTAACCCTTTCCTGGGTCAAACTGACATTGAAAGAAGCACATTTTAAACACAAGGTTTTCCACTTAGTGGCTCCAGATAAAATGGAGATTTGACCGGGGGTCTTTCCCCGTTACATGACCTTTAGGATCATAGTTCTACATTCTTCCACCATGTATTGTTTTGTTTATATTCCATTACTGTAAGCAGCATTTCAAGTTGATTTAGTTGATGAAATCCAGTTGTTAGTGCTCTCATAAACAACCTTGCTTGGCAAGCAAAAGTCCATTAAAACTGCCTGGAAGCGAAAAAACTGGAAAATATCATACTGAATTCTCAAATTATTACAAGGGGTTTCATTCTCTTTTATTATAATTTAATATACTCACTCCAAGGAATGTTATGTTCCGATGGCTAAACATAATACCACATTCAATCCAGCAAGAATCCCCAGCCTTATGGCACTTCTTATCGCCCAGTCAGATGTAACAGAGAGACGATCCCTGGATGTAGCAAGCATTCCTTTTTACATTATCAAATGAAGACAAGCAAAACATATATGATTATGGTATTAATGTAAGCTGGGTAAGGAATACAGAGAGTTTTTTATCTTCTATAGAGAGACTTTATTGTTCATTGTGGATGGATGAATCCATGTAACGAAAAACCTACAACAAAAGACAAGGCAGTTTGTCAGGACATGCCGAGATACATACTCTTATCAACAAATCATACTATAATTCAAATACAATAGACATGATAATTACTACTTATTGATGTTGACCAGCAAAAGTATTACATATGATCAATCAATATTATAACATCACTCTTGACTTTTTGAACAATAGATGAAATGTACATGAACTGAGGTTGATTAATTAACATGGCTGAAAATACCAGTAACATTCAAACCCATCTCTACACATGAATCTTATTACAATACAAAATATCCTATGAGACGTGTTACGCTTACGGTTGAGAATTACAAAATGCAATTGATGTTAATAATTATGAAAATAATGATGTACAGAACTGCCCCTTTAACTCACCCCCAGGAGACAAGAACACTCCTTTCAGCAACGGTCAGTGGTCACATGACCCAGGGCACGGACCAACTAGTCCTAATATCAAAACAATAATTATACTTAGTACAATAATAACCAAACGTTATTATGCAGTAAAATACAATATAATTCTAACAACTGTGCATAGAAATGGCATAGTTTATGAATATAATCGAGGAGAGGTAATCAGAAACATTTGTAAACAAACACTGCACAACGAGGGAAGGGAGGTAACTCTTTGTGATCATCACGAACAAAGAAAAACTCGCTTGGTTCAACCCATAATGGTCATACAAAACTATTCTACAAATAACAACAAGTTCAGTGAATAATTTACAATTCACTCGCAATAAAATATGTTGAAACAAAGACTAGGATTACTAATACTAAAAGCACGTGGACTACACACAAGTTGTTGTGAATCTTGTGAGGATGACCATCTCGCTTGTGCTTGAATGTTATGAATGAAATATTACAAAACACGCCCTTTCTAACACCTCTAACCTATTGTGAACATAAAAGCAAAACACTACGAGCCAAGAGCATGTACTCACATTGAAACTGTTGTGACTAGCAGAAGAAACGATTGACTTGTCTGCTTGAAAACTGCGCTTCATCTGAGAGGTGATGTCGCGAAATGGAACAATAGCGAACTGCACTATGGGAAAAGATTTTATATCTTTTTACATCAAACACCTAAAAGTTGGATAAATGTTAATGGAACATATTATTGTTAATGATAAATAGATAAGAAAGATTTATAATTACGAAAATGGTGTATTTGTTGGTGATATGAAATTCATGTTTCCGACTACTTCCGGAAACTGCCGAAGATTACAACGTGAAAACAAGGGCAAAACAAAAGTGTATAGAAACTCCTTTACATTAAGAAACAAATATAGTGAAAATTAAAAATATAACCCAAACGAAATTAGAACTATAGTTATTTTAGCTCAATGCTGACACGATGGAGCTATGCGGCACTAAGCAACAGCCAACCAGGTTCAGCTGTAGGCGGCGTAAATAACCCAGTCTGGACCCGACACTTCAGTGATTGATATTATGAAGCACAGATCCACTTACGCAATCTCCATACGATAACATGCAATCAGCCATGTCAGGCAGTCTGACGGTGACCACACTACCCGCGAAGGGGCGGTGGGGTAACCTAGTGGTTAAAGCGTTCGCTCATCACGCCGAAGACTCGAGTTCTATGTTCCATATGGGTACAATGCGTGAAGCCCATTTCTGGCCACCATTTCTCGAAACAAACTTAAGTTTTTCTCAAATTTCAAACTGAGTTTCACAATTTGAAACAGCTGAATTTTTAACTCAACTACATTTTTTAAATAAAAAAGCTCAAACAACTTAAGTAATCTATCCACCAAACTCAAAGTGTCTACTAAGTTTGAGTTTAATATTGATTTCAGTTTATTCTGGAAATGCATTTCCTGCGTTTTCTCAAATTTGAGTAAAAACTCTGATTTAAGTCAAAACTCAGGTTAAGTTTGTTTCCAGAAATCGGGGCCTGGTGTCGTGATATTGCTGGAATATAGCTAAAACCGGCGTAAAAGCAAACGTCCTCACCACCCGTGAAGTTTCGAGGCGACTACCGGGATCAGGTGGTCAGGCTTTCTGATTAGGTTGACACGTCATCATATCCCAATTGCGTAGATCGATGCTCATGCTGTTAATCACTGGATTGTGTGATCCAGACTGGATTATTTACCGAACGCCCCATATAGCTGGAATACTGCTGAGTGCGGCATTAAACAACAGCCAACCAACGTGATCACAGGATCCCCAAGTCTACTCCAACGGTCGGCATGCTTACTGGTCACCAATTCCAATCTGGGGTATATCATGGTATTGAAGAATACTTTGTTCTGATTGGTTTAAAAGCGGTATTCCTTTTCCTACTGAAAGGTCTTTAACAATCAGCCTGACATACCGCCGCTTATAGTCTGTCTCACAGTCTCTGAACCTCCTTATTTTCCCTACTGCATAGCCCTTTCTGCTATTTAAAACCCTAAACGAAACTAGTCTAGATATCCTCAGGTTCAGGATCTCTGATCTCCCTTGGGCTCCCTTTCTGAGTTGATTTGTTACAATCAAAATTATATATATTCAGAGACTAAGCGTTAGTCTAACCGCCGCCATATAACCGGAATATAAAATTTGCTGGGTGCGGTGTTTAACAACAAATATTTTAGCGTGGAAAAGAAAACTGACATCTCGAAAGTTGGTTTGGACCTGGACTATGCATGTAAGTCCTCCTTCATGTCACGATTGTACACAGCCTGAACACAGGCCCCCACTGCGGGAAAGAAAATCGATAAACTAGGCCCCGGTTTAGTATCAACACCGCCTACTATATATGTATTATATAGTAGGGGGTGTTGATACTAAACCGGGGCCTAGTTTATCGATTTTCTGACCCGCAGTGGGGGCCTGTGTAACGGAAGTACTGAAAGCAGGGGTACGTGTTACTCGGGTGCTACCCGCTCGCTACAAGTCGCCGTCCACCATCGTGCAACACTTTGAAGGGGTGCTACGTATGCCGTGACTTCTTGCGTCGTGAGTAGGTTCAGAGGTGTGTATGTAATTAGCTTGTAATGTGACTACAGTGTTTTTCAAATCTGTGTGCCGAAGATTGTGCTTCTACAAACAAACGTCCCAGGTGAATTAATGGCACGAATTAGTGAGTAATGTCGAGGTCAGACAGTCCCACTAGACTCAATTTTGTGTCCGTCCGATTGTACACCTGTCGTCATATTATATCGACCTATTTTAAACCACAAAGAGTATAAAGCTGAAACTTTGAATACAGATTACGGTGTCTCATCGATAATAGACTCAAGTATACGCTGTATATGTTCAAACAATTTCAAAATGGCTGCAATTTAAGCTCTGTTCGTCCTTGTCAGAAGGTCATTTGTGCTGACCCTATTTTATCTACCTATGACTAGAAAGCCGAAACTTTGAATGGACGATACTGATTATACAGTGTCTCTTGTTAAACGCTCACTTTAATGTTCACCCAGTTTCAACATGGCTGCAAGTTAAGCCCTGTTCGTCCTTGTCAGAAGGTCATTTGTGCTGACCCTATTTTATCTACCTATGACTAGAAAGCCGAAACTTTGAATGGACGATACTGATTATACAGTGTCTCTTGTTAAACGCTCACTTTAATGTTCACCCAGTTTCAACATGGCTGCAAGTTAAGCCCTGTTCGTCCTTGTCAGAAGGTCATTTGTGCTGACCCTATTTTATCTACCTATGACTAGAAAGCTGAAACTTTGAATGAACGATACTGATTATACAGTGTCTCTTGTTAAACGCTCACTTTAATGTTCACCCAGGTTTCAACATGGCTGCAAGTTAAGCCCTGTTCGTCCTTGTCAGAAGGTCATTTGTGCTGACCCTGTTGTCATATTATCGACTTATTTTATCTACCTATGACTAGAAAGCTGAAACTTTGAATGAACGATACTGATTATACAGTGTCTCTTGTTAAATGTTCACCCAGTTTCAACATGGCTGCAAGTTAAGCCCTGTTCGTCTTGTCAGAAGGTCATTTGTGCTTCACCAATGTCTTCACTGGAAATACACAAATGGAGCTGAAGCTTCATGACAGCCCAGTCTAATTGGTCATGTGGCAAGACAGACAAACTCAAAAGTCTTATTTATGGCCATTATCATTATGATTTTTCAGCCACATTTGTTATACACCGACCTTTAGAAGTCGAGGGTATATAGTTATACCCATTAAAGAATTACGTAAGAAGACAGATTGGTTCAACGAATAACTTGAAAACTAATGGTTGGATTGATTTCAAAGTTGGTGATCACATTTGATGTCCCACGACCTATGTATAATAGCAAGTTCAAGTTCACAAGTCATTAATTGTTTCATTCCCTGTCAATCTACTGTAAAAGAAACACTCAAATAGTCACACAATCAATTATTCGGGGTTACTGTATGATATAAATATATATATATTATTTCACAAATGGCATGAGGAATTCTGAATGGCGATAACTGTTACAGTTAGTTGTGAGAAATCATCTATTTGTACCGACATGATTCCCTTCTGCTGCATTATATAAAAACATGATCCGCGGCAGTGAACGGGCTGGACACATCGGTGAATAGCTAATTAAGCATCATAATTAATTCTGTTTCATTAATTTAACAAAAGGCGGAGTAATTTCGTAAATACCACTAAAATATGGTGATAACTGTTCGCTAGCCAGTACAGCAATATAAGAATTTGAACTTCGAAAGTTTTTCAACCAAGAACTTGAAAAGTATTTGTGTAACAGAGAGCTGTCAGCAAAGCTTGGTTCCGATTTTCAATTTTATTTTTTTTTAAAATTGCTTCAATTTACATATTTCAAATCCAAGGGAAGTTTTGCTCAGCCAAGAACTTGATGACATTTGAATGGATTGTTTGCAAAATTTGGGGATCTCCATATCTACAGGAGAGATGCAGTGCAAAGTTAAATTGTGATATTGTTAATGTAACGGTAATCATCACAAATTGCATTACTGGAACTTGAGAAAAAGTCCCACATCAAATTGTTCGACCAATAATTTTACAATCACTTAATAGATGGGTTTTTTTCAGATTTAGGTAATGACGGAGGTGCAATGCAAAGTTCAGTTATCAATTGTCACTTAGCCATAGTTGGGAGTTCTGGGTTTTAGTGAGTCCTGCTTACTTGAACACATGTTCCAATAATATGAAGTACAGTCTTGACCATGTTTCTAACTTTTCTGAAACTAAACTTCCCAATGATGTTCCAATGGACAAATAAGCTGAAACTGAACCAGCTTGGAGCGGCCATTTTGAAAGATGTTTGTGGTCATTGGACCATTACTTAAAATGAAATGGAATCTGGTTTTAACGAAGTTAACAGTTGCACTGTTACCGTTGCATTCATAAGTTAGGGTTTTCTACTATTTAATATTAGTTTCCTTGATTAACATTTGTGTTTTGGCCTAATTGACACTCGTCCTCTGCTTGTGTAAACATCATCACTTCCAAAACTGAGGAGACCATCGGTATGTGGTCTTGGCCTGAACTTAGGCAAGCATGTTTCTTATTTCACAAAAGATACAACCACTAATGAATTGTGACACTTCAGAAAGCTAAACACTAGATCTGTTTGTTTGTTTTTTTGTTTTGTTTTTTTGTTGTTTCATGCCACACAGCAATATTCCAGCTACATGGTGGCAGTCTCTAAATAATTGAGTCTGGACCAGACAATCCAGTGATCAACATCATGAGCATCAATCTATGAAAAGTTGCAGTTTCGTGCAGTCCAAAATGGATCCAAGGAACATTAAAAAGAAAATTCTTGGTTTGATGTGGTATGAACCATCTTCCAGGTAGTTAATTTGAACTGTTGCTGGGAATAATTCTGGGTGGCTGCATGGTTACTCTGACTTTGACTTACATCATAGACACCAGACATATGATGGAATTTAACTCGGCCATTATAATTCTTTCATCATCAAATATATACAAACTATGAGTCCAGTCAGGTTGTTTGCCAGGATATATGAGGTCATTCAATAATAGCTACAGAGCCCTGGAACAGTGTTGTCAGACCGGCTTACTTATTGTCACAGCATGTCTAGATTCCACATCATTTTGACAGACAGAGCACGTTGAAGTGAAGAGGTGAACTTGAGATGGCCAGTAGAGACAAGGACAATGGACACCATCTGGTCAAGGCCACTTCCAGTGAGTCATCTGAAAGTCACATGGCCACTTCTGGTGAGCATTCAGAATCTGATGTTGACATGGCCAGTCCAGACGAGGAACATGAAGGTCACTTGGTACCCGCAGGTTCAGCGTACGAGGAGGTTCAGAGAGCCAAGCAATCTCAATAAAGTACAGGTGGGTGTCACTGTTGTCCTCCATTTTGTCATCTGAGGTGACATTTATTTGAAATGAAACACACCAAGGGGCCTGTTCTTCTTTCTCAACCAAATTCCATATCAAATGTTACATCGGTGTATTTTCGCTCAGCTTGTCATTGATGTATTTATTCCTCATCATGAGAAAAGTGAAAGTCTTCTGCAGGGCTCCAGATCAGGCCGTATCAGCGTTCGTACGGATAAAACATATGCACGATACGGTAGGAAATAATTTAGAAAACGTAGCAGATACGCCTCACAGCAATGGTGTATGGTCTTTTGTATCATTTACAGATGTATTTATCTGAAAAGTATTATTGTATTGTTTATTGCCCCATTTACACAAGAGCAGCAATGTTGTGGTGCATATATGAAACGAAACACAAGATCACTGATACTGCATTAAATTCCATTCAGTACTTGAAATGTACTCTTAAGGTTTTCTTAAAATTATCTGGAGCCCTGCTTCTGAATGATAGAAACCCGACTCTTTTGCACAGCAAACCCGTGAAGGTCCGGGTATGAATCTTCAGTAGTCCATGCTTGTCATAAGAGGCGACGACCAGGATCGGGTGGTCAGGCTCGCTGGTTTGATTTACACATGTCATCGGTTCCCCTATTGCGCAGATCGATGCTCATGCTGTTGATCACTGGATTGTCTGGTCCAGACTCAGTTATTTACAGACCGCCACCATACAGCTGGAATATTGCAGAGTGCGACGTAAAACTAAACTCACTCACTTTCACACTGCAATTATCTGAAATAATGTTATTCCATGTGGAAAGGAAACAACTGATCAATTATGGTTTTGGTAACCATGGTTACTGATGATTCTTCCTCCTGGTTGATGTTGACAGGTGAACAGCGTTCAGGGAACGCCCAAGTTGCCAACACTCTCAACATTGTCACTGGAGGGGCAGGACAAGGAACACTGGGGAGAGGTGAGTGTCGATGGCGGAAGGGTCAGTAAGTGACCAGATCTTGTTCAAGAGAGAAGATCATCATCCCTGGTCCGACCTGTC